GGCACAACATTTGACTGTAGCGGAAATGAAAATGAAGATCAAAATGGAAGTTTTATCGAAGTTGCATGGGGATTTGGACGACGACAAAGAGCTTCCTGAGAAACAACGGCGTCAGGGCGGCTTCGAATTCAACGGCTTTCTTTTGATATCTGGAGATTGAACGTTCCGAACGACCGCCTTCATGGTAACCTCGTAAACGGTTCACAACAGATGAGACGTTTGACTCGGATCAGCTTCTTTTTGGAATGCGCCACGCTTCCGAATACCACTAGGGATCCTCGTACTGTCTGCTTGTGTTATAACTTTTATTGCTTGAGGGGTCCTGATTGATGAACGGCCAGTTTTTCATAGTTTCAAGTCTGCGATAATGTACCGATCCTTTAAGATGAAGGGTTTAACTTGGGCAACGGAATATGGGCGACTTGGTTGGCTGGGGTAGGAATGCCATCTGTACATTGCTAGCCTAAAGGTGTGTCTGGTCCGCACTTGTCACTGCTACACCCACGCCTCAAAGGCTATGAACAAGGGAGGAATAAACCATTCGACGTACGTCGGTCTCTTTCTGAGATGCGTCACGCATTGTATTTCCGGTGAAATCGCAATGGCATGTAAATGCCATAAGTTAGAATATTCCACGAATTGCGGTCTTACTGTACAACTAAGTATTTTCTTTCTATCAGATAAGTCTGGTGAAAGACAGCCATTTTCCGAGGCATCGAAAGCATCGCTGGCACAGTCGGGAGGCGATTCAAGTTTAGCGCTAGTTTCATACGGATTCAGAGGAGCAGGACCGTTTTTCGGTTTCATACTTGTGGTCCTTCACAAAAGGGTAGGCATAGTTGAAACTGCACTGATGGTGCGAGAAATGAGGCAGCCGTTGGAATGCCAATGAATAGTGTGGTATTAATTGATCGCGTTCATAAACAACTCTCTTAGTGCAACCCTCGATGGCCATTTGGCCATCGAGTTTATGTGATTGGGATGGGGTCCACGATATGGACGAGACGTCCACACGACCGCAATAATGGTGAGAGCTGTAATAAATTATCGCTGAGGGTCTCAGTGTAAGCAATATCATCGGACAACAGGTTGATTAGTTAAGGGATGGTCTTACGGATTCAGAGAGCAGGGCATATTAGCATCGTTCTATTTTTATTTTTCTATTTTTGAAACAATTCGGGGAGAGGGTATGAAGAAAGGTCTTCTTAAGAGCATCTCATTCAGAGCACTGCATGAAAAAGTGCTGTGAATGATGAGACGCTTGACTGCCCTTTTTAATTCTTTCTCATTAAAATGCAAATGTAGTTAAGCACAAGTGTTTGGCAGGGAATACAACCTGAGTTACTGTATCAGAGTCAAAAACCCTGCATGGAGTGCTACTTGGCGCGGTTCGACTTGGTGGTGTCATTGTGCTGACTCCTTCCAGTCATTGCAGATCCTCCTGTGGAGATGGGATGTAACCTTTACAAGGCCATGCACTAGCATGAGCTTCGGCTATAAGTGACAACACTTTAATGGTATAACTAAGGTAAGACGTCTAGCTTAGAGGCATAAGGCACGATAGTTTGGTGCTGTCTAAAGGGGCGCTATAAAATAGGAAAATGAAGAAAAAGACGAATTAGAATGTCCAAAAACCTTCAAAAAACTTTTGTTCTGCGCATCATTTGACAACGATTTTTGGATGAAAGCAGCCGTTAGCATCGTGCCGGTGACCGCTACGATAGATGGGGCTGCACATGGCACATGTGTACTCATATATCCATGCAGCATTGCAGCAGCTTCATATTGTAATTAACAAAAAAAGCAATACGAGCACACAAGCATCGGTCAGCTTGTGGGCAGGTGGGCCGTCCGTGCAAATGTGTGGGCTTCGAGTCGGTTATGTTGCCCAGCTTTATACAATGGCGCCATGTAAGGCGGACGTCCTTGGAAAAGGACGTACACGCAAGCGCCTCTCAGGGGCGCTGAATTCTGTCCTGCCTAGGCGTAATTAATCCTACATGCTTGGGATATCATCATGCCCATTTGCTCCCCCTCACCGCTGCTCTTGGGATCTCTGTGAGACGCAGTCCTCGCCATATGAAACTGATGGAATTGTATGGGAGCAACTGGGAAGATCCAGACCAATTCACGGATGGACGTGTATTCGAGAAGAGGAGCAGCTCATCACCTCTGCAGCTCTTGCTAGATGTTTTTGAGCACGAATTACTGATTCAACTTTGTCCTTCGCTATCTCCAATGCTTAACTGTGGAACAGTTCTTGTAAAGATCTTACGGTTCCAAGGTTTTCAACACATGAATAAAATTAATCCTTGCTCCTCGTTGCGCTATGTTCCACTTCCCACGACTCGGTTCTTTCCCACACCTTGCAGACATTGATATTCCCGAAAAACTGTACTTTTTGCAGTCTTCATGCATAATCACTGAACCTTTGAATGGTGCTGCCTACCTTGGAGTTTATAGTATGATGCACTATATATGCATGCAATGGGTCATCGCTCCCATAGTGTGCAACCATGTGGCAGGAGTGTTCCCATGTGCTGTTGTACAGCGCTAGCGGCTGCCACCACGAGAGCAGTCCCCGATACGTGTGGTTCGTGAGTGTTGCGGGCAGAGGAGGGGGTGATTAATTATGATACGACGACTCTCCGTCCGTCGAGGATGCCCCTCCCGCCGCTGACGTGATAAATGGGCAACTAGCCAACGCGACATTTCCCCCTATCGATTACTTTCGCACGACGTGTCAAGGTCCTGCACAGATTTCCTTGACTCTCATTTGTCGTTTTAACGAGCAGAGAGTTGTTCGAAACACCGAGAGAAGTTGCAAAGAAGATGTGACGTTGACTGGCGCGATGTTAAAGGTCAACCACAAACGATGGGTACCGTAATCCTAGCGCGGCGGGTGGCGCTCGCAATTCATGTTCGTGTTAATGACCGCGTTTAACTGCGCGCGCTCGTTCATTGCTTGATACTCACCAATTAATAAGGGAACGACTTTGCGTTATACGGTAGCCAGAAGGATACGGTACGCTGAAGGGTGGCAGATTTTGTTTGTGGTTTTTTTTGCTTGGCATTTTTTGGAGACATGTAACAAGTCCTAGTGGGAACTAGTGGTCTTCGTGAAGAACGTCTTGCACCTTCTTTCGAACTTTCACCTAAACTCTATACTTTGGCATTGCTGGCCACCCCTCGGGACGCTGAACTAAAAATATCCGGGCGCAGTTCTCGACGGGGAGGGGGCGAGAGGGCATTTTGTTTCCCATCGGTGTGTCGACCCATCTAGATGCTTCTACGTCGAGTTTTAACTATGGTGGTGGGCAAGCTTGCTGCTCCAGTTACCACAGTTCTACAGCCTTTCAGAGAGTGAGAATTGTAGGGAGTAAGCAAAGCAGTGAAAATGAAAATGTCGCCCCGTCGCGCCACGACATCGTTTAGGTTCCTGATTATTCAAATAAGAGCTTTCTTCTCGTTTTCTCAGAACGAGAGTATCTTAATGTTCCAACGAGGAGTGATTGCGGCAGGCGCTGGTAGCTGGAGTTGCTGTGTAGATTCTTACTTGTTTCTATGCAAAATTTGCCTATAAGTTTTAGTTATTGTTAAGAGAGTATTAATCAGCCAAATATCTTCGGAGTGTTTATTGAGTAGTAATTGGCCTTCTTGACCCGTTATCTTTAGGTCTTAGTTGTCTTGTTTCAAAAGAATCACAGTAGGTAGAAAGTGAGTTGATTAAAGGGAGCCATTACTTCCACTTTTATGACTTTGTTCCTCGTTTTCATTCGAAGTGATCGATATTTTGTGCAAGTCGAACGTGCGTCTGTCGGTTTTGAAAGAGATAATTGAAACTGCAGTTTTTGCTCGCTGTTTAAAACCGTTAAAAAGGTTTCGGCCATCAGTTTCGGGTTAACTTACAGTAAGCTTGTGTTTTGTAGAGTGCGGTTTTTCAAATGCGGCATCCTGGAATGATAACAAAAATGTTTTTTGGACTGAGTACGCAGGTTAAGGCTCAGGGCTAGTGTCCGAGGAAGACTTTGGAGCAGGTTTTTCGAGATACTGAATCATATGTATAGGAAGGCTGGATTCTGTATGCCTTTCCCGGTTCCTCCATATGAATCATTGTAGAAAAAGATGCTATGTGCGCCGAATCTACAGGGTAAGGTATGTTGTGCGAAACACATGAGGGTGGTTACTTGCCGCTGAGGAGGGGGGTTATTGAGTAGGTTGTTGGGATTGGAGGGTCATATGTGCCTTTGAGAGAAATTCGTCGCATTAAAAAAACATTTTTCTCGCTTGTTGACTTTTCGTGATTTCACCCGTTTCACATTTGCTATATACCTCCCCCCCCCCTGACGGAAAACATTTGTATGAAAGACTGTGAGACGTAGGAAATTTCAGAACTGGTAGGAAGCTGGGAATAGGAAAGTGGTGGATAGGCATCGGTGAAGAGGGGTCCTACCGAGAAGGGGGAGGTCGCACCAAGATCCTCCCTCAGGGAGGGGGAGCAGTTGTACTGGCACCACCATTTCACACGTCACGCTGTATCCTGCCATTCCATGCCACATCACAGGCTCTATCGTTCGCAGGGATCATGCGTATTTCGCGTTCGCGTTTCCTCCCAGATTTTCATCCAAATTCGGAGCCTAACCTTTTTTGGGCTTCATCCTCCTCCTGGTCCCCAAACACTTTTTCAGACACCGCAACAATCTGCAACCTTCCCACTGCCAAAATTAAAAAAATGCTGGTTAAAAATGAGCGAGGTGGTTACGCACTAGCACCGCTTTCTGAGGCTCTGAACTCGCAACTCAACGGAGAATTGATGGCGCCTCTTTGTGTATCGAGCGCGTATGGTGCAGCTATCAATCAAAAACCGCGTATACAATAGACTGGGAACAGCCGTGAGACGATCGACGGCAGCCCCGATCGCCACTGCGACCCATCGCCTGTGATTTTCCACCCGAGGGATCGTTACTCTTGAAGAATCTAGGCCCGTGATTAGTGACTAATTGGATACTTTCAGGTTTCCCAATCTTGCCGGTGATGAATCTGCTCGAGATGCGCAGGATACGTTGGCATCGTTCCAGCCACTGATTAATAGTCAATGCAGCGAGCAGTTACGATTCTTCCTATGTTCCGTCTACTTTCCCATGTGCAATGAGAAGGTGAGTCGCTTTTGAGAAGAGGCAAACAATCGATCAAGTCACTCATCATCTCCAACTAAAGTAGGACCAATCAGTTAAACAAAAAGAACAAATTGGCAAAAATGCAGACCTCCCACATTGCTAGCAAGGAGGGTGATTTCAGCAAGAAGGGATTCATGAGCAATCCTCCTACGGAAGAGGGAGTTTCGAGTAGACAAGTTGTTTCACAATATGTTTCTAAAAGTAGCTCTACTAGGCAATAGGTCCCACCGTACTCACGATAGAGAATCGCTGCCAGTGGGCCTCCAGATTCTCGAGTCCGAAGCTGTCTGTCAGTCTATGATTTCCGTTTTTCGGTTGAGGCTGACTCGGATTTTCAAGAATTTGTTAACTAGGCCGAACGGGAAAAAGTCAACAAGGAAAAACTTAGGGATGGTGCTACACCTTTTTGCTTTGCGGAATCCCTAGCGGGCAAGAGGGTCCTATTTGGTCGCTCGGGGAGGGGGACGAGGGGGTCGTATTTGGTCCGATTGCAAGAAATTTTTTTGAGACATGATTTTTCTTGTTTCACGAACACAATAAAGAGGGGGGTGTGTCGTATTCGCTCGCCGTTGGGAGAGGGGTACGTATTTACCGTCGAGAGAAATTTGCGGCAATTCCACACAGCCGAGGAGTCGTATTTTGGGGAAAAATTTATTTTGATAGTTGATTTTTCTCGCTTCATGGACGTTGTAAAGGGAGAGGGGTCGTACTTGGTCATTTTTGGGAGGGGGTCGTATTTACGTTTTGGCGTTGTGGGAGTGGCGGTTGACTTTTGGTGATTTTCCTGTTTCACGTACTATAT